ACCAATTAGGAGAGAGGTAATGAGGGCCTTTCCCAGGGTGGTGGCGATGTGAGTGGAGAGAAGGGGACAGATTCAAGATGTTAGAGAAAGAGAAGAAACGACAAGGTTTGGCAGCTGATCAGATACGTGGGGTGAGAAAGAATAAGAGAGGGAAGATGACTCTGAGGTTGTGAACCTGAAGGATGGTGGTATCCTTGACAGTAATAAGACAGCTTAGAAGAAGGGTGCATTTGGGGAGCAAGATGAGGTAATTAGAACTGTGGAGTATATTGCAACCCATCTATGCCTGCTCATCTTGTGTGGCTCATTCTGTCCCAGTTGAAATGAAAAGGGATGGGAGGGGACTCACCATCAGTGCCCTGAAACTAGAGCTTTCCTTCTGAGGGGCCTCTGGCAGAGATGATCTGCTGTTCAAGGGAGGAAGCTTGGTAATTTCCCCAATGGCACCTGCACAGCTGCTGCTCTATTCCCAGGTTACAACTGCCCAAAGGGGTGATGCCTGGTGCAAAAGTGGGGAAATGGGGAGCTTTTGGGGTGGAGGATGGGGGCAAAGTGGGGGGGGTGTTGGAGGAGGATAAGGGTAGATAGATATGCTTTTGTGTTAGAGACAAGCCCTACGATTGGCAATCAAAGGGAGGGGTGCTCACCCTTCCACCCTCCATTTGGTTGATTACACACTTCCTGAGATCAGATCACAGCCACTCTAGGGTGAGACTCCCCTGCTCTCACTTTAGAGACCACCACTCTAGACTAAACCTCCAAAAGACCTTATCGCTCAACTTATTATACATTTCTTGCCAAGCAGCCATAGCAGGATGGTGTATTAAAACGAGTGATGGACCTGGAATCAGAAGATCAGGGTTCAAATCATCTCTGTGGTACTTAAGCATGTGGTTCTAGGCAAATTATATAGTCTCTCTAAGCTTTGACACATTCTCATTTATGAAATGGGGTTGATACTTTCCCCATCTACCACATGTGGTTGTTATGAGGAAAACTTAAATCTTGATGGGCAGCTAGGTGGCGCTGCAGTGGATGGAGAACTGAACCTGGAATCAGGAGGACCTGAGTTCAAATGTGGTCTCAGATACTTGCTAGCTGTGTGACCCTGGGCAAGTCACTTAACCTCTGTTTGCCTCAATTTCCTCATCTACAAAATGAGCTGGAGAAAGAAATGGCAAACTACTCCAGTATCTCTGCCAAGAAAACCCCAAATGGGGTCACAAAGAGTTGGACATGACTGAAAAACTACTGAAAAACACTATATAAATGAGTCAGTACACTGTGAGCTGGGCATCATAGAAAACCTAACATTGATTCCTAGATATAAAGTATGCATAAAGTCTTAGTGCATACTTAGTATTATTAAAGTTTAAAAAAAATGAAATAGTACTTTTTATTCTATTCTTAAGTTTTAAATAAGATATTTTATTAATGACTTTTTATATTTATGTCAAATATACCACCCTCTATCAGTACTTCCCTTTAATGAAGAAATGGTTAATCAAGTCAAATGACAAGGAGACTGGGACTAACAGTGTATACCATATTCTGCACCCATAGTACCACCCCCCTTCTCCCATGAGAGGAAGGATATGTGTTTCATCATTTATTTTCTAGGTCTGAGATCAGTGATTATAGGTCATCAGAGTTCTGCTGTTTTATGGTATTGCTTTCATTTATATTTTTGCAGTCTCCTAATTCTCTTTCACTCTATCTGTCAGTGCAAGTATTCTCATATTTCTTTGAATTCCTGACGCGGTTGGCTTTTTTACAGTCCAGTAGCATTCTATTGCTTTTATGTATCACAATTATTGTTCTTTCTTGAAAGCCTTTTCATTGAAGTCTTTCCAGTTTGAACCAAGCCAGGATATTTTCCCCTAATTTGTTGTCTCCTGTTTATTTATTAGTGTAGTTGTTAACTTGAAGCCTATTTCAATCAATCAAACAAATATTAAGCGCCTACCTGAGGCAGGTAGGTCGCACTTTGCACAGAGCACCAGGCCTGGAGTCAAGAAGACCTGAGTTCAAATCCAGCCTCAGACATTTACTAGCTTTGTGTCCCTGGCCAAGTCACTTCACTGCTGTCTACCTCAGTTTCCTCAAATGTAAAACAACACCCACTTCTCAGGGTGGTTGTGAGGATCAAATGAGATAGTATTTGTTAAAGGTGCTTAGCATAGTGCCTGGCACATAGCACGTGCTTAATAAATGTTGATTCCCTTTCCCCTTCCCCCACAGGGGGAGACAATATAGGATCATAGCTCTAGAGCTGAAAAGGGTCTTAAAGGCCAGCTAATCCAACCCCCTCACTTTACAGATGAGGAAACTGAGGTCCAGGGAAGAAAAGTGACTTGCCCTGGGTCATACAGTAAGTAAGTATCTGATACAGGATTTGAACCCAGATCTTCCTGACTCCAAGTCCAGTGCCCTATGATGTCTTCACGTACAAAACAGAGGCCAGAGCTACTAGGGAGAGCCATGGACCGCAACAGCTGGACCTGTGCTTCAGGAGCGCCCCTTTGACAGCTGTGTGGAGGATGGGCTGGAGAAGGGAGACATGGGAGGTGTGGAGACCAATTAGGAAGCTAGTGCAATAGTCCAGGCGATTTGCATTTATTCATTATTCGAGGTATTGACAGCTCTGACATTGCTAGAAAAAAGCGGTTTTTGAATGTAATTTCAGCAGTCGAAGATAATCTACATTGGGTTTCAGTGGTGTTCATTAGTGCAGAGAGCTACCATTTCTCCTTTTGCATTTATGTTTTCCTGTTGCATGTATGTACAAAACATCAAAGCACATTTTAGGTGGCCTTCTGATGAAACAATAACCTTTGGAGCTATCACCAATGCATCACCTTCGCCCAAACTCAAATTTTGTTAATAGCATCTGGTTCATTTGAATGAAAGGTTTGTGTTTCAATATAGGCTGAAATACAGAGCACTGGCTAGAAGAGAGCAGCACCAGTGGGGGGGGGGCGAGGGCGGGGGAGGGAAAGGAGGGGAGGGGGGAGGGGGGGGGGTGGAGGGGGGGCAGGGGCAGCGGGGAGGAGGTGGGGAGAGAGAGGAGGATGGACATGGAGGGAGAGACAGATGAGGGAGAGGAAAGAAAGGGAAAGAGGATGGAGGTGGAGGGAGAGAAGGGGGAAGAGAGATGGAAGGAGAGGAGCAGAGGAAAAAGAAGGAGAGAGAGGAGTGGAGGGAAGAGAAGGAGAGAGAGGAGGATGGAGATGGAGGGAGAGACGGGGGAGAGGGAAGAAAGAGAAGAGGGGAGAAAGAGATGGATGGAGATGGAGGGGGGAGAAGGATGGGAATGTAGGGAGAGAGATCGGGGAGGGAGGGAAGAAAGAGAGAAGGGGGAGAGAAGAGGGATGGGAGAGAGAGGGGGGAGGGGAAAAGAGAGAAAGATGGAAAGGGAGAGGGAGAGAGAAATGGCAAGAAAGAATAGTCTCTCTGCTTGGGTGTTGCAATGGTGCTTGCATACAGGTTCCAGTCTGAATTGCACCGAACATTCCTCTAAACCCTAGTTTTTCTCCTTTTTCTCGCTCAAATGTTTCAGCCCAAACCCTTTTTCAGGTACCTAAAGGGGCACCTCCATTTTATTGATGAGGGTCTTGTTGTTCAGAGAGGTCCTGATTCGCTCAGAGTGACCCAGCTCGTAAATGGTGGAAGGAATATTAGGATCACAGGTTTACAGATCTCGGGCTACAAAGAATGTCAGAGACCATTTAGTCCAACACCCTCATTTTATAGTCAAAGAAACTAAGGCAGAAAGAGCTTGTAACTTGCCTCAGAACCCTGGTCTTTTATCTTACCAAGTTGGATTTCTACAGAAATAGATGCTGTTGCCTTGACAGGTTGGGATGACATTCTGTGGCCCCATCCTGTGGTTCCCACCTCTACCCCAAAGGGCTCAGGGTTTGGAGTCAGAAAACCTGCGTGGAAATCCCAGGCCTGACCCTCCTCATTGCCTGGGGGACTTTAGGCAGATCCCTGGGCCTCAGTTACCTTCTCTGCAAAACCAGGGGGTTGGGCTCCACTTCGAGGGTCTCTTTTAGCTCTGTTTATAATCCTATGAATTGAATCTTTTTCTTTGAAATTCTTATTTGCTATCTTTTGAGTTGGGCTCATCTTCTTTTCTGAATCTATCCCTTTCCCTACTCAGAGAGCCATCTCTTGTAACCAAGAATAAAAAGTGGGGGGTGAGTAGAAGCAATTCAGAAAACCCCAGCACATCAACCATACCTAAAAATATATGCAATATACAACACCCATAGCCCCTCACCCACCTTTTGAAAGAAGGGAGGGAGGTGCATTTTTTTCCTGATTCTTCTCCAGGGACACATTGCATCATTATAACAGCAGTCAGAAGTAATTTAATTTTTCAAAATGCTTTATTGATGTTTTTTAAAAACCTCGTTGTTACTTCCCAATTAGCTCCCATCCATTAGAACTCTCCCTTGTCACAAAGAATTGCAGGTAAGCCATACTTCCTGATCCAGCCTGGGGGCTGGCATCCAAATTGAGGAGAGAGGCCCACTTCCCCATCATCCCTCAGGAGTCCCCTTGGTCACTGTATCGATCTGAACTCTGACGTTCCCCACCCCCCCCTTTATGCTATTGTGGTCATTGTCTACTGCTAGCCATTAATCCTCTCTGTGACTCTTCTCTGAATTCCTCATATTACAAAACAAAACAAAAAAAAAGAATGCATGCTTCCTATGCCTTTTTTTGCTAACATAATTCCTTGGGGATTTATAGTAATGTGTCCTAGAAAGAAATGGTAACCTTATACATGGCCTTGAAAAAATCGAAATAGGTGATTCTGAGATCATTTTTATCTCTCCACATCCCCAAATGTGGCTACCTTCAGGCTGGGTTTACACTGGGCAGTGTTCTGTCAGGGTTTGCTGGGAGAGGTCCTTGGCTGGAAAGTAAGCTCGAGTCTTCGAATGATGGAGCAAACCAGAGGTTGATCATATGTGTATTATATCATCCAGGCTTGCCGGGAGCTCCAGGAGGAAAGGGAGACCCAGGACCCCCTGGGTTTGATGTCTCAGGGCCTCCTGGTGAGAGAGGCCCTCGAGGAATTCCTGGGACACCTGGTATCATGGGGCCTCAAGGTTCCCCAGGGCCCCTGGGACGAGATGGTGCCCCTGGGCTTTCAGGTAATTAAAAAATGTCTCTTTCTGATTACTGCAAATTGTTACCGTGGACAGTATGTAGGTGGGTTGGTCTTACTCAGCACGTGGTGTTGCATATGGCTGGCTATCCTTTAGGAACCTTTAGGGAGTTGGATGGGACTGCTATGTGAAATAGAATCCCAGACCTAAGGCCGGAAGGGCCCTCAGAGGCCAGCTAGGCCAACCTCCTCATTTTATAGAAGGGGAAACTGAGGCCCAGGGAAGGGAAGTGACTTGCCCAAGGTCACGCATAGGCTTATAGATCTAGAGTTGGGAGGGACCTCAGAGGTCAGCTAGGAGGAAACTGAGGCCAAGAGAGGGGAAGAGACTTATCCAAGATAACAATAAGATTATAGGTTTAGAACTGGAAGAGGTGACCATCTAGTCCAACCTTCTCACATACACATAAGGAAACTGAGGCCCAGACCACAGAGGTGATAGAGGTGACCATTTTATTCCACATCCTGGGTGTTACTTCTTTTTGGCTCCCAAGCACATGGAATAAAATCTCCAATGTCTGTCATTTCCTACCTCCTTGACTCCAGGCAAGTCTCCTTTCTGGGCCTCAGTTTCCACGTTTGTGAGATGAGGAGTGAGTTAGCTATGAAAATCTCTTCTAGATCTATGTGTTTTCTTCTTCTGCAAAGTGAAGGGAAGGGGTTAGGCTCGATGGTCTCTGAGCCTCCCTCCACCTCTAAATCCATGTTCCTACTAATGTCTTTCTCTGATCAGAGACAAGTGAGAATCCCTCACAGACATTCTTTGAGGTTTTGTCTAGAATAACTTTGCTGATTCACTGCTTCTAGGTGCTAAAGGTGAAATGGGGAAGCTGGGGCCTCCAGGACCACCGGGACCTTTAGGAATTCCTGGAAGGAATGGTCTTCCTGGCTTGAAAGGTAACATTTGGCTGCATATTTTGTACGAGGGGGCATGTTCTCCTCCCCTTGTGAAAATGAAATATGAGAGAGATTTTCATTGGACAACATAAAGGAAGGGGGTCTGCTTGACATGCTTTTCTAAGGGACATGAACTATTTCTGTTGGACGTGAATGAATTATTGCAAAATTAATGTAGATCCCATATGTTTTTAAATGGGATTTTTAGGTTAAAGTCATACAATGTAGGACTCGAATGTTATACCCCTTCTTATTGATACCTAGAGCCACTTGTAAGCAGGCATGCATTATTTAAAAAAAAATTGCAGCCATCTGTTGTGAGCTCCTTCTCCTCAATCCCACCCTTCATAACCCCTCAGCATCATCCCTCGCTTTTTCATCTTTTGCTCCAGGCTTGAAGGAAGAGGTTGCCCTTCTCCTTGCCGTGGCCCCAATTGTATCCTTCATCCCATCTGCTCCCATCTTCTCCAGGAGCTCAGCCCTTCTATCATCCATCTCCTTTCTTCTCTTCATTTTCTAGCTCTCCTTATCCACTGGCTCCTTTCCTACTGCTTGCAAACATTCCCAGGTGGTCCCTCATCCTTGAAAAAACTGGCATCCTCTCAAAATACTCTACAGTTTTACTACCTCTTATAGCCAAACTCCTACAAGATACTGTCCCTACTCATTGACGCCACTTCCTGTCCTCTTCTGATCTCCTCACTCTCCCAAAAGTGCTCTCCCTCTCTCCAAGATTATTACTATTTGCTTGGGGGCCATCTCCAGTCTTGACTCATGTCTTGCCACTGGACTCCAATGACTCTGGAGGAGAGAGTGAGGCTGGTGACTTTGCACAGCCCTGCCTCACTTAAATCCAGTTCACTTGCAAGTCATGACATCACCCTCCTGAGGTCATTGGTCCTCTTTGAGAATGAATGACAAATAACGATAATCGCTGTTTGCTTATTTGCCGAATCTAATGTCCTTTTCTCAGTTCTCATCCTTCTTGCCCTTTCTGCAGCATCCAATGCTGTTGACCACATATGCCTTCTGGGTCCTTTCTCCTACCTGGGTCTTCTTGACAGGGTTCTCTCCTTCTTCTTCTTCTATCTCTCCGTTCTTCTCCTATCTCTCTGGCCATTCCTCCTCCATCTCCTCTGCTGCGGCATCATTCGTAGTTCACCCTTTGTGCATAGATATACCACAGGGCTCTGTCCTTGGCCTAAATCTACATATCCAGCCATCATCTCCCTCTCGAATTCTGGCCTCACCTCACTAACTGCCTTGTAGACATTTCTAACCAAATGTCCTGTCGGCATCTCAAATGCAACACATCCAAAGCAGACCTCATTATCTTCTCCCTCTCCCCAAGCTGTTTCCTGATTTCCCTATTTCTGTTGAGGGCACTACAGCACCATTCCAACCAAGGTGTCATGATCTTCATCCTCACTCATCCCCTCACTCCTGATCAGTCACCAAGTTTCATTATCCCTTGCCAACATCTCTCAAATCCACCCTTCTTGTCTTCACTCACATAATAACCACCTTTCTCCAGGTTCTACTTCCTAATTGGCCTCCCCGCGTCCAAAGCCCTCCCTCCATTCCACTGTCTACACGACACCAAAGTGTTATTCCTCTAACACAGCTCTGACATGTTCCCTTGTCACGGAAATTCCGGCAGCTTCCTTTGGCCTCTAGCAGCAAATACAAGCTCCACTGCTCTGTTTGGCATTTTTAGCCTTTCATAATGCTTGAAATAGCCACTCACTTAAGGTGAGTATTCGTGTACTGCTGCTGGTTTAATTTCTTTTACAGCCTAATTAGGGCCGGGAGAGTTTGATTTTTTAAAATATTTAAAAATTTCTGGCACATATTTATCCTTATCTTTGCAAAATTGACTTTTGCAAAGCTGCCATAAAGACACTTCCTTAATTTGTGTGAATTCCAGTGGTAATTTGGAAAGTCTATCCCTCTAAGTTATTGCCAAATCCCATTAGCTTTAAAGAGTCATTCAAATATATTTTGATAATTGAACAGTTAGAAGCCCAAGTCGAAGGTCAGCGGAGGGAAAAGCCTTCTAGTGTCCCAAATAAGGCTGAGCTGAGGGGCACGCTGCTGGGCTCTGTGGAGGGCCACTAGTGAGACCCTAAAGAGAGCTCCATTGAGTGGACTGAGCCCATGCTTGGGCTTCTCCTCAGCCCGTTGGGACCAGGCAGCCTGAAGGAACCAGAAGTGGAGAAGGAGGAAGGAAGGTGATGAGAGCTGGTCAGTCAGGAAGCACTTATTTTACACTTACTGTTTGCCAGGCACTGTGCTATGTGCAGGAGATGGAAAGAAAATGCAAAAATAGCCCCTGCCCTCGAAGGGCTTCCATACTAATGGGGGAGACAACATATATGTAATACAAGAATAGACCCAAGGGAATTTTGTTGGTCAGGAGTACTAGCACTGGGGGAAGAAGGCCACCTAGAAATGTGGGGGAGTCATGAAGGAAGCTGAGGATTCCAAGACACAAGTGAGAAGGGAGAGCTTTCCAGGCATGGAGGGTGGGACAGCCAGTATAAAGGTACAGAGATGGGAGACTGACTATTGTAGGTTAGAAGCAGTAAGTTGGCCTCTGTGGCTAGACTGGAGAGTGTGTAGGGGAGGGGGCGGTGTCAGAAGATTAGGCAGGAAGAAGGCCACGAAGAACATTGCCAACCAGCTGAGTTTGTATTTGATCTTGGAGGCGATGGAGCCCCTGGCCCTTCTTGGTCAGACCTGGGCTTTAGGAGAATCACTGGGGACTGAGTGGAGGAGACGAGGCAGGAAGGCTGATTAGAAGACTCTTGTGATTGTCCAAATGAGAGGCGATGAGGGAGGGCCTGCGCCAGGGGGCTGGCTGTGGGAATGGAGGGAAGGGGATGCAGGTGAAAGCTGTCGTAGCTAGAAAGCCTACGATTTGGCAGTTAATCAGATGTGTGAATGAAGGCTTGGCCAGGCACTGGGCTGGACACTAGAAATAAAAGACTGAAATGAAACATTCCCTGCCCTCAGAGAGCTTGCATTCTACAAGTATGTAAAGAGAATGTGTCAGAAAATGACCTAACACAAGGAAGTGTACAAAGGCATTGGAGGAGATGAGAAGCCGTGAAGTTGCAGGCATGCTTTTGCAGTCAGAGGACCTGGATTCAAGTCCCGTCTGTAACCGTGACTACCTGGATCTACTTGGGACCCTTTCTGGGCCTCCATAAAATAGAGTTAGACCAGCTGACCTCTGAGGATCTTTCCAGGTCTAGATCTAGGGTCCTATGTGCGACCTTTGACAAATCTCTTCCCCTCCATGGGCCTCAGTTTCCCCATCTGTAATATGGATTGGACTAACTGGCCTCCAGAAAACAAAACAATCCCCTGGCATTTTGCAGAAAAGCCTCCGATATGTGGCAGGGGCTTGGGCTGTATTCTGACCCCCCTCTCCAAATCAAGGACACCAGTTGAAAGGAGCCATGATGAGAAAGGGCAACCAGATTCTGTGTTATTCATGGTTCTTAATGGCCAGTGTGGGAGCTCCCCTATGGGGTCTTTAAAGGAAGCATGTATGCCTGTCTGATGGGGCACATGGGACTTTGGGCAATGTGCACAAGTCCCCAACACTCCAGAATAATGTTTATGTATATGGGTATGTGGATACATGTATGTGTATATGTATATTTGTGGATATGTAGGAACCATGAACAATGTACATGTGCACCATGAACAACGTGTGTGCATGCGCATGTACCATGGACGTATATAACAATAAATACTGGGTATGTATAGACAACAATACATCCCAGGTATCTCTTTGTCTCTGTGTCTGTTCTAGGTGAGGATGGTTTGCCGGGTCAGGCAGGATTTCCTGGTCCTGTAGGACAAAAAGGTGGAAAAGGCGAGCCTGGCATTCCGGGCCCTCCTGGACAAGTGGATCCAAACTGTCAGACAGTAAAGGGGGAGAAGGGAGAACCAGGCTTACCAGGTAAGGGAATGGAATCAGCTAGGCCAGGGTGTTTATAGTGGCCTTGAGTTTAGATTATGTTAGGTTAAAAAAAGATAAATTTCATGACTAATTTAAAACCAGGCGAACATAACCTGGACAAGTCACTTAACCCTCTTTGCCTCAGTTTCCTCATCTGTCAAATGAGCCAGAGAAGGAAATGGCAAACTACTCCAGTATCTTTGCTAAGAAAATCCCAAATGGGGTCACAAAGAGTTGAACAGGGCTGAAAAACAACTGAACAATAATGAACATACATTTAGATAGAGAGGCTATATGGTGCAGGGGTTAGTGCCTTATGCTTTCCTCAGGGTCAAGAAGGCCTGAGTTCCAGTTTTGCTCCTGACACATGTGTGAGGCAGTGTGAACCTGGGCCAGTCCTTAACCCCCTCAGTGCTACAGAGCAGGTACTGACATATGTTGCTAGAAGGAGTTTGCTCACTGGGAATGCCCTCTACCCATGGAATCACAGGTCTAGTCCAAAAGCACCCCCAAAACAAACTACAAGTAATACACGTTGAAAAAGATTTACAGCTTAAAAATAAACTTCATCATAGAAATATTGATAACAATATGCCAGTTACTCCATTACTCTGTGTAACATATATATGTACCTATATATATATCTATATATAAAATACCAATATACATATTTAAAACATCAATAACAACACTGCTTATACCCTTCCAGTCTTAATAATAATAACTAACATTTCTATAGTGCTTTCAGGATTGTAAAAGCAGTTTACATACAGGGTGTGCCAAAAGTCTCAGTGTAGTTCTAAACTTTACTAGCTTAAAACTGCATTAAGACTTTTGGGACACCCTGTCTATTCTCATTCAGTCCTCACAACAGCCCTGAGAGGTGGATGCTGTCTGTTATCAGCTCCATTTTCTTTTAACAGATGAGGAAACTGAGGCTAATCGCAGTTAAGTGACTTGCCCAGGGTTACATAGCTAGTAAGTGTTTGAGGCAGGATTCAAACTCAGGTCTTGTTGACCCCAAGCCCAGTGCTCTATCCGCTGGGCCACCTAACCTTTGTTTCTCCATTCGCTTTTGTATTTGCATGTGCATTATTCCTTTTATATAAAGTCATCCCTTCCACATTGTGACTTTCCCCATCGTTTTGATATATCAAGGGTTAGTACAAGAAATTAAATGGGAATTTTGGGGGAGTTTCACATGAAGGCCAGCAAATGACACAGAAAAAGTTTTGAAACTCAGACATGCATAAAATATATGCATAGTATCATATAATGTCAACATATTTTATCTCTTAATACCATAATAATTCAGACTTCTTCTCTGGTACGAAGGGAAGGCCAAAACATTTTACAGAGATTTTCCAGATCGTGGGGTACCACACCCCTAACCCCTGAGATGTGGAAGGGATAACTATTTGCTTCTTAATTTAAAGGTAAAGGGAATTCCTTTTGAGGCTAGGGGTTTACCACATAATAAAGAGTCAGTTCACTAATGAATGCCTTATATTTGGGTGGTGGTAAGAGTTCAGTTTCGATTTGAACCAATGGAGGGACCATCTAAAGGGCCTCCTTTCTAAGCCGGTAATCTTACAGGTCAGATGCTGAGGTCCAAAGAAGGGTCACACATACAGACTGCAGAAGGAACTCTAGAATCCAAGACTTCTGACTTGTGGCCCCCAGCCAGGGCTCTGGCCGCTCCCTAATGCTGCCTTACACCTTTTCTTGGGAGAAGCTTCTCTTGGCAGTTTTATCTCTCCCCCATGCCCCCCAGGTAGATCACAGGATAGGACGGGAGACTTTCTATGGCCCTCCTCCAGACTGAGCAGAAACTCATAAGGTGCCAGGCTCCTGTGACCTACATTAGAGTTGTCAGAGTAACCAGCATGTGGGAACAGAGAGAGAAATTCTGGACAAAGTGGGAAGGGCACTGGCCCTGGAGTCACAGGCCCTGGGTTCAAATCCTCATTCTGCTCTTACCACCTATGTGACCTTGGGCAAGTCTCTTCACCTCTTTGGACCTCAGTTTCCTCCTTGGGGTGAATTCCCTGCCAGTTCGCGATGTCTGCTATCGGCCTGTGCCAGCCTTTTACTTACAGGGCAGTGGACTGCCAAGTGGAAGAGGCTGGCCTGGTCCAGCAATGCTCTGCCATCTGGCCTTTCAGGGCATCCCTTTGCTGAGGCTGTGCAGCTAAATGCAATTTGATCTCAGCAAGATCGACAGTCCTTGGTGAAGTCCCCTGAGAAAAGGGCAAGGGGAGAATTGCATCATTAAAGTTGATTTACCACTCTCTGAACACAAGTTACAACCTGGCTTAGTGGAGAAAGAGCCAGCCTTAGAGGCAGGAAGGTCTGGGTTCAGGTCCAGCTATCGATACATCCTGGCTGTTACCTTAGGCAATTTTCAAAGTCTCGGAAGTGGTAGAGAATGTGTGATCTATGTGGTAGAAGAAGTTGCTTTGAGGGGAGTTCCTTTGTCCAATGAAATGGAAGATTGGGTCTTATTCTCAAGACCTTTTCCTTGCCGCTCTCCTCCCCATTAAGTGTTTGGAATTATTTGATGTTGGATAAAGTAGGATGTGAGAGATTAGAGTAGGAAAGCAATTTTTACCTTGCTAACAGTCCATCCCATGACAGAACAGAATCTTTTCCTCTGTTCCACTCAGAGTTCTAAAACTTAGTGACTTGCATCGATGACATTAGTCATGGATCTGTGGCCTGAGCTTGACTTTCTTTTTTTCTCCTCTTTCTTGGAAGGCATTCCTGGAGCATTGGGTTCCAAAGGCTCCCAAGGTATTCCTGGAGACCCAGGACAACCTGGATTGGTTGGACAGCCTGGTTCCCCTGGACCACCAGGTAAGTACCACAGTGGGGTACTTCAGCAAACATACAGCTCTTTTTCCACAGTGGGGAGACAGTTTCCATAAAGTATTGAACCTGCATAATGATGCTTAGACTTGGATCCTGTTGCAGTGCTAGAGACCATCAAAGATGACTTTGCTTGTTGGCCCAAAGATGGTGTCACTTGGTCTACCTCGTTGCGGACGTTTTACCAGAGTTTATTGCCTCCTTCTGTGGCTCTCAGGATGTGAAGAGCATCAGAAAGGCAACGGAAGAAAGGTGTTTTCAGACGTGGCCTTGGATGTATTTTATAGAATTCTACATGGATGTATTTACAGAATCATACATGATCTAGGGTAGCGTTCCACCTCCCACCAGGTTCGTCACTTCAGCTCAGTGACACCTACAACCACTGTGGCCCCTCCCCTGGGCCAGATGCTCAAATGCCCATCATCCTGAGAGCCCGTAGGTTGTAAGACATAGAAAAAAAAATGAAAGGAAGTAGGCCAAATATTCTGGTATGGAATTCTTCACCTCAAACCATTTCCTAAATCTCCTCCTCCTTGTCATCTCAGTTATTTAGGGAGGGTGTATGAGGGAATTCCTGAAGCACCCCCACAGCTCAGGGAAAGGATTAGGGAAGGGGGTGTGTCTGGAACCCTGGCTCAGGATTGTGGACTGGAGAAAGCAGAGGGAGAGAAATGAGAAAAGCCAGCCTTCCCTTCCCCCAAGGCAATGCGAGTCACTATAGTGGCTACTCTTGGGACTCCTCATTCTCCTTCCTTGCCTCCTGTATTTGAGTCACCTTCACAGTGCTAATTCCCAGTAGCCACACTCCTAGCTGATCAGGTCTATCTTCCAGAAGCCCAGAAGAGTGAAAGCTAGGATGATGTCCCTTCACACACCTTTGCTTATATGGTGATCCCACTCTGAAGGGCGACTTCAACTGCAAAGGAAATACCTGTCAGATTAAAGTTCTGAAACATTATTTTTAATTCCCTAGCTGAGAATCCCTAGATTTAGGGTACATGGCATTATGCGAGAGGAACATCTCATGGGGGAAAAATTTAAATAAAAAAATCAAAATCTGGATGGAAAAGAATTTTAGTTCTGCTGTTGGTGGGCCCATGAGTAGGTCTAAACCAGGGGTGGGGAACCTGCAACCTTGAGGCCACAAGTGCAGCCCTCTGACTGAATCCAAACTTCACAGAACAAACTTCATATGTGGCCTTGAGACCGCAGGTTCCCCACCCCTGGACCATTCTGGAAAACAGTTTGGAATTATAAACAAAAAGTTACCAAACAGTGCGTGTCTTCTGGCCTAACAATACCACTGCTAGGCCTGGACCCCAAGGAAATCAAAGAAAGAGAGAAAGGTCCTATATGTACAAAATATTTCTAGCAGCTCTTTTTGTGATGACAAAAAGCTGGAAACTACGGGGATGCCCACGAACTGGAGAATGACTGAACAAATTGTGGTATATGGATGTAATGGAATCCCATTGTAGTGTAAGAAATGAGGAAAAAGATAATTTCCGAAGACACATGGAAAGATTTGCATGAACTGATGCTGAGTAAAATGAGCAAACCAGAAAAACGACTTATACCATAACATCAATATTATAAAAACGAATAATCTTGAAGGCTTGTATAAACCATTGAAGAATGAAATGAGCAGAACTAGGAGAACTGTTTTTAGAATAGTAAGAACACTATACAAAACAAACAACTTTGAAAGCTGTAAGAATTCTGATCAAAGCAGTGATCATCTGTGATTCCAGAAGACCTGATGATGAAACATGCCAGCTGCTACCTGACAGGGAGGTGATAGACTCAGGGAACACAATGAGACATAAGTTTTTTGGACACGGCCAATAAAGAAATTTGCTTAGAGTTGACTATTATTACAAGGATTTTCTTTTTCAATGGGGTGGGGTGTGGGAGGAAAAGAAAATAGATATTTGCTAATTTAAAAAAAATTAATTTCAAAAATAATCTCTGTATGTGATATCTGCAACCCTTGTAGCCCTTTCCATGATGCCTTTAAATCATGTGGCAACTTCCTTAAACCTAGAGAAAGACAGTGTGTCACTGTATTAATTATCCAGCAAGGAGATGCAATATCTGAGTTGTTTACCAGGTGGCATTCCGCCTGCAGGTACCATCCAGCCTCGTAGTTTAATCAAATTTACTCTGGCCCATGTGTGGGATAGCCTTCCTAAAAGACTATAGTATTTCTACTGGTCATGAGAGAGTACTCATCCTGTGTAAACGACTGAACTGCTCCCCTCATTGCCAAGCTGACAGCTGCAAGGGATCACGGTGAAATTAATCTAGGAGATGAAATGGAATATTACTAAAAATTAAAACAGATCATGTGACCGACAAGATGGCAGAACAGTTACTTTCTAAAAACCCCTGCAAACCCACAACCTCAAAACGAAGGAGTTATGTGCCAGGTATAAAGTAATTGCCACTTATGCCACAAGATAAGAAATCAGAACCAACAGGCAAGTTAAAAACTCCATGGATAAAAATATCAAAGCATAAAGTCTACAGCCCATATGCAGCTCTGAAGCCTCTATTCTATCTTTCTTGGCTCTCCTCTGGTCAAGATCCTCTCCCACATGCACAGGACTTAAATATTTAACATATTTGATCACATAGTTTATTGGTTATTGTGGAAAAAAATACATGGCAATGAATGCAGACATGATGCGTACTTGGTAGGTTTCTCTCTTTTTTCCCTTCATTTTATTTTATTTTTCAATTAACAAGCATTTACTTTATATTCTACTTCCAATTCAAAAGAAAAATAAAACCTTTGTAATAAATATGCGTAGTCAAGCAAAACAAATTCCTACATTGGCCATGTCCAGAAACAAATATCTCATTCTGCATCTTGAGTCCATCAACCCTTAGGAGGTGAGTTATTGCTTAGTTGTTTCAGTTGTGTCCAACTCTTTGTACTCCATTTGAGATTTTCTTGGGCACAGATACTCGAGTAGTTTACCATTTCCTTCTCCAGATCATTTTACTGATGAGGAAACTGAGGCAAACAGGGTTGAGTGACTTGCCCAGGGTCATACAGCCAGCAAGTATCCAAGGCTGGATTTGAACTCAGGTCTTCCTGACTCCAAGCCCAGCTCTCAATCCACTGTACACTGGATATAGCCTGAAAGGGCCGGGCAAGAAGGAAGCCCTCTTTGATCCATGCTTTCAATTCTAGGCTATGGTATTATAACGAAAGGATTTGTTCTGTGAAGTTTGGATTCAGTCAAAGGGCCACGCTTGAGGACCTAGAGGGCCACATGTTCCCCTCCCCTGGATAGAACATGCACATGCTAAAATAGGAACAGTTCTTATTTCTGCTCTTGAGCCCTCATGCTCAACTTTGGGGTCTCTCCTCTTTCATGACCCTCTATATTCATTATCATTATAGGCACTTCACCCTACGGCAGTGCACATTTCATTGTATCAGGTAAAAATGCCAGGAAAATGGAAACCTGTCTTCGTTGTCCTTTCTGCTTTCCCCAGATGAGGAAAGAATTGGGGGAAGAAGTTCCATGTCTAGAATGCTTTTTTCAGGGACCAGGAGCCAATAGCAATTGGGAGGAAGAGAATGTTGTGGTAGGGGAGCTTGTCCTCCTCTTGCCTCACCAGGCAAGATGACTCTTGAAAAGGGTTAGTGCCAGGATCCCAGAATCCATCTTGGTCCCAGAGCTGCCTTTCTCCAGCAAGGCCAGCTCCCAAAGGCCCTGTAGGCAGTTTGCATATCTGCTCTACATCTGGGTCCCAGCATTTCCTCCTGGCCCTAGCTGTTACCACAGGTAGAGGCTTTAGCAACTGCCTAGGTAATGGTTGTACCAAAAAGGTCAGTCTGAGTCAGCAATGTCAAATATGTGGCCCAGGCCGCGAGGCGCTCAAATATGGCCTGAACCAGAATCAAATGTAATTGGAAAATATCAACAAAATAAATAAATAAATCAACAAAACAAACAAACAAATAATATAATAAATAAATACATAAAAATATTTTGAGTTGGACCCCACTGGTCTGAGTGCAGCAGCCACTTGCTCTGTGATCAGCATGAGCAGTTGGTGGACTCCACACCTTCCCCCCATCTTCTCCTTTCCTTTAAACCACTAATTTTGGAGTAGGTAGTCTCTTCGAGTGTAGGTCAAGAACAATGAAGCTTAGGTGTTTGGGGAAATTGCGCCTGTATACATTTTCCTACCGTTCTTGTTGTGGCCCTGACCTATTTCCTTCAGTCAGAACTTCTGCTACAAAAGGAAAGAATTCAGTCAAACACTTCCATGCAGCCATCTGCCTCTAGCCATCTCATCTTCTCAACCTCCTCCCACTTGCCCTCTTAGATCTGCAGAGCTGGTGGGAAGAAGCTTCAGTCCACTTGCACCACCAGCTCATGGAAGCAAAAAGGGAAGGGAGTGCCTGCGATCCTGTCTCAGGGTCATGGAATATAACAGGGGCGAGCAGAGGAAGAGCGGTGAGAGAAATCAGGCTTCTGCAATCCACCAGACTGGGCCTCATGATCTTCCTTCCTTGTCTTCTGGTCTCCATCTGTCCTCGATTATCTAGGACACGCCTAGAGTGCTGATCCCCAGCAGGCACACTACCAGGGGGTCTGGGCTCCCTCAGAGAAGCCTGAAAGGTTGAAACCCAGGGTGGCAGCTTCTCAAACCCTGTCATCCCCATGGTGCTCAGGAAGGCTGACTTGAGGATGATGGAAGGATGAAAACAGCAGCCAACTCTGGACCCTGGGGGATAGAATTTGTGCCCCTCTCTCCTATCTCATGGCTTCCTGACTGGTGCAAATCTTCCCTCCCTAGACTCCCAGGGCAGGGAGGGTTCAAATCTTACTTCTTTCATTTATACCCTATGAAACCCTGGCCAAGTCATTCCACCTCCCTGGACCCGAGTTTCCTTTTCTCTAAAATGAAAAGGTTGGGCTATGTGGCCTCTGGAATCCCTTCTAGCTCTAAATCTTTGATTCTATGATCTTAGGCCAGTCACTTCCCTTTGGTGGGCCTCAGTTTCCCCCTCAGTAAAAGGAGAGGGTGGACTAACTGGCCTCAGAGTCCCCTTCCAGCTCTAGTTCTCCGATCTTGGCTTGAGCGCCAGGAATAACAGACACTGCTTTGCCAATCTCACCCCCCCTCCTTTCTCAAATCATCATCACTCCAGGCCCAGAGGTAAGAGTGCAAGGCATGGGCACAGGTTCTGTTTCCCAGCATGCTCTCTTCTGGCCCAGGGATAGCCGTTTTGCAGCCTCCCTTGGATACCTGCTCTCGTGTTAATAACCCTCTGTGTTCACAAGTTTTTCTTTCTTCTTTATAGAATCTCTACTTGGTTCCCACTTTAGCCAATTTCCTTTTGCTACAGCACCTGTGAAAATAAAGAACAGCTGCATGCTATCTATCTGCTAAGCCTCATACATACTTAGGCAGTTATTTCTCCCCAGTCTGCCTACTACCTCAGTGGGACCTGTAAAGAAGAGCCACCTAGTGCCCCTGTGTTCACCTGCTCCCCAAGCTGGCAGCTTGTGCCTAGGAAAGTGCCCCTGGCACAATGCCCAGGAGTGTGCCTAGCCTATGCAATCAGCTCGGCATCTCCCCCAAGCCTCTGCTTTGCAGTCAGTCACCTTCCATAGGCAACCTAGCTGCAGAATGGTGAAATCCACCTCTTGACCCTTTACAAAGATTTTTTAAAAAATGGATATCTTTTGTTATCAACCTTCATACAATGTCCCTCCTCCCTCTGTGGTACAGTGGGAAAAGGCCCTGTATTCAAAGTCAGAGACCTGGATTCAGCCCCCCCCTCTTCTATCCTAATGATTTATGTGACCTTGAACAAGTCACTTCCCCTCCTTGGACTTCAGTCCCCTCCTTTGTAAAATGAGGAGATTGAGATAGATGGCCTCTGAGGTCCTTTCCATCTCTAACTTTATAATTCTCAAACCTTCTGTGCCCTCTTCTCTTCACTCTCTCTACCTGTTGACCTCATCAGCTCTCAGGGGTTCTGTTATCATCTCTTCACAGTTCAAATAGTGGTTCCTACCAAGTGAGCCCTTGTAACAAGAAATCAAAAAGAAAGATGGGGAAAGAATCACTTCTGCAAAAGCAAACAACACATTAAATCTGATGGTATATGCTGTGTGACCTACCCATAATTCCCCATCTCTTCAAAGAAGCAAGGGAGGGGCATTTTTTCATCTCTTCTCTGAGACCAAGCCTAGTCATAATTATACAACATTCAGTTTCAGGGGGTTTTTGATTGTTCTTTCAGTTTCCACCATTGTAGTCATTGTGTAGGGTGTTTTCTGGGTTCTGCTTGACTTCCCTCTGCATCAATTCACATAAGTCTTCTCCTGCTTCTCTGAATTCTTATTGTGCCTTGTTTCTTACGGCACAGTAAATATCACATTACGTTCATGCATCACAATTCCCTAATGGACAGTGGACCCTTCCTTTCAAAACAGATTGAGCTTTCAAATGGCACAGCCAATTGGGATGGATGGGAGTATCTGAGGATATACATTGGGAAGGACCAGATGAACTGAATTCTTGGGTGAAAAGTGTTTAGCCAGAACAAGTTGTGGTACATTGATTGATGGGATATTACTGTTTGGCAAGAAACAATGAGTATTGACAATTCAGAGAAGTATGAGAAAACTTCTATGAACCAATGCAGAGTAAGGTAAGCAGGACCAAGTAAATAACATATACAATGACAATAAACAATGGAAATAGAAAGAACAATAGCAACAATAATCGAAACCAAATGCTAAGAAATGATAATAACCCCAAGCTTTGCCCCAAAGAAGAAAGAGGAGAATTTACCTCCCTCCTTATCTTTGCAATGCTGGGTGGGGAACATGGCATATAATGTCAGCTTTTTTGGATTGTTTGGTTAGTTAGGCCAAAATGTTTTCCCTCTTCTTTTTTATTCTATGTACTAAGGGATGGCTCTCTAGGAGGCAGAGGGGAGAGGTATACGTTGGGAAATGTGTGTGATGGAAGGACAAAGGATGGCAATAAAATCCATTTTTAAAAAAGGGGGAAAAAGTTTTCAGCCAGTTTTGGAAATAGGTCTTTGCTCACTTGCATAAGGAAAGACGCATTGGCTGTTTTGTGATTCAAAAAGGTTGCTGATTTAATTTGCTTCATTACCAATGCAATATCCATAGGGACAGTAGGCTTGGTGAAATTTGGGCTTTTACTTATAAAGCTGCATTAGCCTGAGGAGTAGCTATGAATATAAAACTCTTCATAACCTGGCCCCTTCTTACCTTTCTAGTTTTCTCACACTTTAAACCGTACCCCTCCCCTCCCACACACCCTTTGACCCTGCTGCCCTGCCTTTGCTCTGGCTGTCCCTCCTTACATTTGCCCCTGACTTCCTCCAAAACTCAGCTCAAAGCCCACCTGCAACCCACCACAAAGTCCCCCCCCCATGGACCCCTCCCCCCATGTCTTCTCCTCTCATGTTGCCTTTCAGCTGCTTGTTATATATTATATATGTGCCTAGTTCAGAGGTTCTTAACCTCTTTTGGTGTCAAGGACCTCTTGGGCAGTCTGGGGAAGCCTGTGGACCCCATCTCACTATCATACTTTTAAATAATTGAAGGAAATGCTAAATTTCAATTAGAAGTTTATAAAAATAAAGGTGGGACCCCCTGCAATTTTAACCCCAGCTTAAGAACCCTGAACTAATTATTTACAAGTTGTCTCCCACATTAGAATATGAGCTCCATGGACCAGGTTTTTGCCTTTCTTTGTATTCCAAGGGCCTAGCACAGTGGTTGGCATGTTGTTGGCTAACTGGCTCTCCGTTTACTTCTGTACTTCTTGGCTGCCATCATGGGCATATGTGGATTAGGATCTCCATGGCCGTCATCCCATACTGTCCTAACCTTGGATACGTTCCGAGACAAGGAGCCTAGTTGAGTACTGACATTGCCTTTTCACTCTACCGTATTGATTTCTCTAGGCCCCAAGGGAAACCAAGGCCTTCCAGGGCGACCAGGACCAATAGGCCCTCCTGGATTAAAAGGACGCATAGGAGACATGGGATTTCCAGGTGAGTGAGAAGAAACCCCAGAATGCTGTTCACCTAATGTAACATGGTTTTTTTTTTAATTGCCAAAAGGAGATTTTTTTTATATTGACAGGCTGAGGTATTGAGGCATTGAACAGGAATTTAGAGACAAACTGTCAGACAAACTTGAGACTTAAAAATTCAGAAATCTGTGAGTCCTTCCCATTTCAGCATCAGAATTATGACTAGGGACATGTGGAGTTTAGCAGGCAGGGCTAGTGGTTAGCATAGCCCCTCTCCTGAGCATGCTTAAGGTCACCTCGAGATAGAGGTCAGAGGGATTGAGGGGGTTGAGGACCCAAGAGATTGGGATGTCCAAAGGGGAGAAGAGTTGAGTTGGAGAAGACCGTGAGTGACCAGTAGTAAGTGTGGTCTGGGGCTGCCGCGTGAGGAAAGGTTGAAAAGTGCCAGTGGGGCCAAGGAAGCTGCCAATTTCTCCTTCTCTCTCATGTGTGTCAGGAGGTGTGAAATGAGGAGCGGTCACCCAAAGGGATGATGCCAAGTGTCTTCAGGTGAAAGTTAGGTTCAATGAGTGCCATAAGGTGGAAGGAACGTGAAAAGAAGTCAAAGATGAAATGGAGTTTGTTACCGATAGAGCAGGGCCTGGTGGAAAGGGAGGGCAGAGGAAGAGAGAGACTGGGAAGGGAGAGGGCTGAGCTTACTCGTGGGTTAAGGTAAGGGTCCAGGGTCTTTTACCTGAGAAGTGAATCCTAGGTGTCCCACACTGCCCAGGAGAGGCAGGATGAGCAGCTGGACTCTGGGAGGTGGGAGGAGAGAGGAAGTATCTCCCACCCCTGCCAGACGTCAGGGCCTAGACCAGCCCCAGCTGTCCCCTGCCAGTCTTTCAATGCAGAGTTCTTTGTTTCTCTCTCTTTGCCCTCGGTTTCTGTGGCTACGTATATCTTGACATGTCAGCTAATAAAGTGTATGCTACAATTAATAACTATTTTAACAGGTCTCCAAGGTGTGGAAGGGTCTCCAGGGATGCCTGGAGTTGCTGGCCAGCCTGGCTCCCCAGGATTTCTTGGACAAAACGGAGAGAAAGGAGCTCCTGGGGTTGCAGAAATTGGTCGCCCAGGTCTCCCAGGTCCCAAGGTATAGTCCTGCAGGTGGAAGGAAGGATGCTGGGAACATATAGGATTTCTCTCTTACATGATGATCATTACTGCTTCTCATTTAAACAACATAAATAATATAGCCACATATCCAGGCTGGGCTCTCTTTTCTCTGGAGTTGACAGTTTGAATGAGAAGAGGAGAGAGCAGGTGAAAAACAGAACCATTGTAATGTTATTTTTTCCTATCTCAAGCTAAGAGTATGTTTCAATAATCCAAATAAATCTCCCTGCCAATTTGGATAGGTAGTGCAGTGGATAGAGCACTGGGTCTGGAGTCAGGAAAACCTGAGTTCAGATCTAGTCTCTGACACTTCCTAGCTGTGTGATCCTGAGTAAGTCATTTCACTTCTCTCTGCCTCAGTTTCCTCAACTGTAAAATGGGAATGATAATGGCACCTACCCCTCAGGGCTGTTGTGAGGCTAAGATGAGATAATAATTGTAAAGCGCTGTGGTGCAGTGCCTGGCACATAGTAGGTGCTATAGAAATGTGAGTATTATTACTAACAGTGCTAGATCTCCCGCAGTTTACTGAGTTAAACTGCTATGTAAGATACTAGGCCCTGAGGGAGACACAAGAACGAATCACAGGCTGTGAGAGTTGGGAGGGAACTTGGAACTCATCTAGATCAGTTGCCCTTCCCTTAGAGAAGAAGTGTGGCCCAATGGATAGAGGTTGGACTTGTACTCCAGGATGCTCTGGGTTCAAATCCCACCTCAGGCTGGCTCTGAGACACTAGAAAAATCTTTGAGCCTTAGTTTTATCTGCAAAATGGGGAGACTAATAGCACCACCTTCACAGGATCAAAGGAGACCATGTATGGAAAGTGTTTGGCAGAATTAAAAGCCCATATAAATGTGAGCTGCTATCATTTATTATCATTACGTCTGCTGCTTTCAGGATGGGGAAATAGAGGTACCATGACATGAAGTGACTTGCCCAAGGTCACACGGTTGGTAAGCACTTGCCAGATGTGGGGGTTGGACCTCCAATGCCTTTCTCACTATGCGAGTCAACCCCATGAAACTCAGCAGTAGAGTAATTGCCACGTCTGATGCAATTCCATGGAAGTGGGTGTTGGAAAATACGTAAAGTACCCCTCTGCCCTCCCAGGCAGCACTAGAACTATCGTTCTAATGAAGGAAGTGATTTTCGAATGCGTTGGAGACGCAGTAGGTTCCAAACATAGATTTGACAGGAAATCCCCCATAAAGGGCTATGGTTCTCATGGAACCAGAGATAACAAAGCCAGAGCTCACAGGACTTCGCTCAATGCTTTGCTTTGACTAATTTATTTCAAGAATTGTGTGGGCGAATTGGAGGCACATTAATAAAAACAGAGGTCCTCAAAAATAATGCTATTGGAGCTCATTCTGCCATCATGCAGAGGTAACAACAGGAAATCGTGATTAGGTGTCTAATTGGATCTAGATTGGAGTCAGCATGGTACAGGGGAAAGTGGGGTGGGGGGCCGGGGGTGAAGAGAACATCCAGGTGGCGCCCAGCAGAGGCAGGAAGACCTGAGTTCCAATGGAGCCTCAGACATTTCCTAGCTGTGTGGCCCTGGGCAAGTCATTATTCCTTCTACCACAGTTTCCTCAACTGTAAAATGGGGACCTTTCTCACAAAGTTGTTAGGAGGATCAAATGAGATAGTATTTATAAAGTGCTTATTTTTATTTATTTTTTAATTATTTTATTTTGAATTATCAACAATCACTTCCATAAGCTTTTGAGTTTTAAATTTTTCTCCCCCTCCCTCCCCACCTCCCTCCCCAAGATAGCACACAATCTGATATAGGCTATACATACACATTCCTATTAAACATATTTTCGCATTGGTGATGTTGTAAGGAAGAATTAGAACCAATAGGAGGAACCACCAGAAAGAGGAAACAAAACACAACAGAAGAAAAAAAACTAGCAAATAGTATGCTTTGATCTGCATTCAAACTCCATAGTTCTTTCTTTGGACGTGGATAGCATTTTCCATGATGAGGCCTTTGGAGGTGTCTTAGATCCTTGTATTGCTGAGAAGGGATAAGTCTACCAATATTAGCCATCACACAATATGGCTGTTACTGTGTACAACCTTCTCCTGGTTCTGCTTACTTCACTCAGCATCAGACCATACATATAAAGTGCTTAATACAGAGCCTGGCACATAGTATGTGCTTAATAAGTGCTTGTTCTCTTCCCCCTCAAATCAGGACATTTGAGTTTAAATCCCACCTCTGATACTACATGTGTGACCTTGGATAAGTCCTTTTCCCCTCCCTGGGCCTCAGTTTCCTCATCTGTAAAATGAGAGGATTGGACTAGATGGCATCTAAGGGCCATGCCAGCTCTAGATCATGGGGCCTGTGATCTCAAGCTCTCTTCCACTGCCAAGATCTGCAGTGCTCCTGGGCTTGCCGCATAAAGTCCCTCACTGACTTTCCCCAGTTGACTTTTCTAGACCCAGACACCATCACCCTCCTTCTTTCCTTCTCTAGTCTAGTCAGACTGGTACACTTGGTGTTACTGTCCCTGCCTCCTCAGCTTAGAGGCACCTGTGTGAAACCTCCCCT